TGGTCTACAAGATACCATGCGCCGATTGCGAATCTGTGTACATTGGCACGAGTGAAAATTACTGCAAACGTCTGATGCAACACAAGAATGACGTCGCCAAGGGCCACACAGTGACAAATGCACTCGCAGAGCATGCCGAGAAGACGGGCCACGAGATAACCTGGGACAACGCACGCATCATGGCCACGGAGAAGAATTTTACAACCAGACTGAACCTCGAATCACTAATCATTCAGACGACAAGTAACACAATCAATAGATCATCTGGCACACTAAACCACGTGTACTCCCGGAGTTTGCGTCATGCGCTCAACGTTACATAAGAACCTGTTGCTCAGCCGTCATTCCATTGTGAACAAGGGACCCGTACGGGTCCCGAAACGTCATTGTTTTGTTTGACATTGGTCAGTGACCTGTTTTTTCAACAATTCCATTTGGCTTGTGCTCAGCACCAGCAACGTTTCAGCGGCTAATGGACACCGTACTATCAGGCCTCAAGTGGCAGACGTGCTTAGAGTATTTAGACGACGTCATCGTATTTTCTGCCACATTCGACGAACACGTCAGGCGACTGCACTCAGTATTCCAAGCTATCCGTTCCACCGGACTAGCACTTAAGCCGGAAAAATGACACTTCGGCTTCGAAGAGCTTCTGTTACTGGGGCATCTCGTCAGTAGTGAAGGTGTGCAGCTTGACCCTGAAAAAATAGCTGCCATTACGAATTTTTCAGGGCCAACTGACAAAAAGGCGGTCAGACGGTTTTTAGGACTGTGTGATTACTACCGACGCTTCATTGAGAACTTCTCGCGCATTGCCTCGCCGTTGACCCACCTTACCAGAAAAGATGCCGCATTCGTATGGAATGAAGAACAACAAAAACAATTCGACGAGCTGCGGCAACGCATTCAGAACCCACCAGTCCTTGCACACTTTGATGATGATGCACCCACAACAGTGCACACCGACACTAGCAATGCCGGCTTAGGAGCTGTACTCGTGCAGTGGCAGGATGGTGCCGAACGAGTAATTGCTTACGAGAGCAGAACTCTTTCACGAGCGGAAGAAAATTATTCCACCACAGAAAAAGAGTGCCTTGTGGTGGTGTGGGCGGTTATGAAATTCCGTCCATATCTGTATGGTCTTCCTTTTATTGTTGTCAGTGACCATCACTCCCTCTGCTGGCTGACAAATTTAAAAGACCCTTAGGACGGTTGGCGCGCTGGAGCCTGAAGCTTCGAGAATTTGACATGACGGTGGTCTACAGAACGGGGAAGCAACATTCAGACGCTGATTGCCTTTCTCGTGCGCCATACGAACCTCCGACGGCAGAAGATGACGATACATCCTTTGTCGGAGTTGTAAACACGGCAACTGTCACACAGCTGCAATGAGATGACCCCGAACTAGAACCCATAATTTGTTTTTTAGAGGGTCGCACTTCAGCTGTACCTAGACTGTTAGCAAGACGGCTTTTGTCATTTTGCTTGCGAAACAACGTCCTGTATAAGATGAACTTCACGCCACACGGAAACGACTACTTACTCGTCCTCCCAACATCTCTAAGGAGCGAAGTATTACAGGCATGCCATGATGAACCAACATCCGGCCACTTGGGTTACACGCGTACGTTGTGCAGAGTGAGGCAGAAATACTACTGGCCAAGACTGACAGTGACCGGTCAACACTATGTTCGGACGTGCCTTGATTGCCAGCGCAGAAAAGTTTCACCCATCAAACCAGCAGCCCTCCTCCTTCCTATTGACGTGCCTGTTACTCCATTTGCTCAAGTCGGAATGGATCTTTTGGGCCCGTTTCCAACCTCATCGGCAGGTCACAGATGGATTATAGTAGCCACCGACTACCTCACTCGTTACTTCGAAACCAAGGCTCTGGAGAGGGGCACGGCAAGTGAAGCAGCCTGATTTTTCGTAGAAAATGTGGTGCTAATTGATTGATAGATATGTGGGGTTTAGTGTCCCAAAACCACCATATGATTACCGTAATTACTCGAATCTAACGCGCACCTTTTTTCCGGTTAAGCGAGTTCATAAATCGCATGCGCGTTAGAATCGAGTACGAACAAAAAAAATTACGGTCAATCTATTGCCATCGGCAAATCCAAAATGGCCGCCCCCTACGTGCGTCAGCATGGCGCGTCGGCATGGCGCGTCGGCCATTTCTGCCTATGTGTTTCCCATGTGCGGCACTTCGTACGTGTGCTGAGGAGTTTGTCATCTAGTAGTGCATTAGCATCGACGGCGTGGAAGGGCCGACTCCAAAAACTCGAGTGCACCACGATGCCGCTTTTAAAAGAAAAGTCATCGTGTGTGCAGAAACGGACGGAAATCGGGCCGCATCGCGGTCGTTCGGAGTTCCCGAAACGTGCGTGCGGGACCGGCGGAAACAAAAGCAGAAGATTGTCGACAGCAAAGCTTCACGCAAAGGCTTCAGTGGACCACAGCAGGGTCGGTTTCCGCAAATTGAAGAGCTGCTCGGCGAGTATGTGCTTGAGCAGCGAGCGGCACAGCGGCCCGTGACGACAGAACTGCTCCAAGTGCGGGCTATGCAATTAGTCTTAGAAAAAGGTTTAATGCGGAGCCAGTTTAAAGCGAGCAGGTGCTGCCTAACTAACTTTATGAAGAGGAAAGGCTTTTCCCTCCAAAGGGGAACATGCATATGCGAAAAGCTTTGCGGAGGAGTACGATGAAAAGCTTCACAGTTTTCAGAGCTTGGTCCTAAACTTGCGGCGCAACAACGGCTACCTGCTTGGGCAAATCGGGAATGCCGATCAGACGCCTCTTTACTTCGACATGCCTGGCACCACAACCGTTGAGAAGAAGGGGGCAAAGCAAGTTCGCGTGCTGACATCGGTCTACGGTAAAGCTACAGTGACGGCAATGCTCTGTTACACATCAGATGGGCACAAGCTTCGCCCGAACCTCATATTTAAATGGAAGACGCTCCCGAAAGGAGTCGTTTTTTCGAGTGGTGTGATCGTGCGGGCCAGCGAGAAAAATGGGTGCGCGTTGCAATCGATGTCTTACGTTTTTTTTCTTTTCCGCGGTGGAAATCAGGTGCGCGTTACAATCGAGGGCGCGGTAGAATCGAGTAAATACGGTATGAGAGACGCCGTAGTGGAGGGCTCCGGAAATTTCGACCACCTGGGGTTCTTTAACGTGCGCCCAAATCTGAGCACACGGGCCTAGAACATTTCCGCCTCCATCGGAAATGCAGCCGCCGCAGCTGGGATTCGATCCTGCGACTTGCGGGTCAGCAGCCGAGTACCTTAGCCGCTAGACCACCACGGCGCGGCGAGAATGTGGTGCTAAGGCATAGCGCTCCGTCAGTGGTAATAACTGACAGGGGAACTGCATTTGCAGCCGAACTATTACAGACAGTTTTAAGACTTAGTGGCACATCCCACCAGCGAACAACGGCGTATCATCCACAAGCGAAAGGTCTTACGGAGCGTCTCAACAAGACACTTGCGGATATGCTCTGCATGTACGTCGATGTGGAGTATAAAAACTGGGATGAGATCTTGCCGTATGTCACGTTCGCCTATAATACCGCTCATCAAGAAACAACAAGAACGCCATCCCGCCTTCTTCATGGTCGTGAAGTCACCATTACACTGGATGCTATGCTGCCGCACGAGTGCGAAGACGCCGAAACAGATGCTGATTATATCCCTCAGCTTGCCGAAGAAGCTCGACAACTTGCACGCCTATGTATTAGTCGCCAGCAAGACTACGTTTCAAGACGGTACAACCTTTGTCACCGACCAATCTCCTACGAGCCAGGAGAAAAAGTTTGGATATGGACTTCTATTCGGCGCCGTGGCCTCTCAGAAAAACTGTTAAGACGGTACTTCGGTCCCTATAAAGTTCTAAGACGTCTCAGTGACATTTATTATCAGGTTGTCCCTGATACAGCGCACTCCTTAAGGCGTCGAAGGTATGCTCCAGAAGTTGTGCACGTGGTACGCATGAAGCCTCATTTCTCCGAATGAACTCATGCGCTTTCAATGAGTACAAACCACTTGATTATAAAGCATCGGGATGATGCTTACTTGAACGGGAAGCTAATGTCACGGCTAAAGGCCGGGCAAGAAGACAGAGGACGACGAAGTGATGAGCGAGGACAGCACCCATGGTTCCTCTGAAGGAGACGACGTCGAAGCGGCTGCTCTTTCGTTCTGTTAAAAAAGACCTCGTTTTTCCTAGTCGCACCCTCGTCCTGTATCCTGTTATTTTCAACTAGCGACAATATAAAATGCTTTGATTGATTGATTGATTAATTGATTGATTGATTGATTGATTGATTGATTGATATGTGGGGTTTAACATCCCAAAACCACCATATGATTATGAGAGACGCCATAGAGGAGAGCTCTGGAAATTTCGACTGCCTGGGGTTCTTTAACGTGCACCCAAATTAGAGCACACGGGCCTAGAACATTAACATATAGAATTCTGTAAAATTCTAAGGCTGTTTTGAAAAAAGGTGCCAATTACTACTTGAACTATTAAAACAGCATTTAAACTGTGTTTGTATTCGATTCGGTTCTAAAATTCACACACATACACCCTTAAAAATGTGTTCATAACCAATAAAACAAGCGAGCGTGAGCAGCATTCTGTGCAAAAAAGACATTCTTGTAGAAACAGATCAGTCAATTTGTGCTCACGATAGTACCAGGCAAATGTCCACACTGCACACAGTTTTCAGATAAGCTAATAAGCTAAGGATAGGAGCATTTCACACAACAAGCCATTTCACCTCCAACATATCAAGGATCGACTGTGTCCTAGCTGACTGCTCACAGTGCCTCAGGATTTTTCCCTTCAATGTATAATCAATCAATCCCAGAGTTCGTACTACGCTTAGTCATAGTTTCATTGCCTTTTACTTTTGCTGCTTGCTTCACTTTTGTAACTTTTGCCCACTGGTTTTGTTTGCATGAGAGCATTTTTCCTTTGCACAACGAGCCACATACCGGACGGTTATCCAGAGTCCATGAAGCACAGCAAAGAAAGGCACATCCTGCGGCTTGCGGAAGGCCCAGTAGTAGGAGGCAAAGGCCGCAGCCAAAGCCACCTGGCCCAATCCCACTATGAAGAACATGCCCCAGATGAGACCAATGAAGTTGTAGATCTGCAGTCGCGACAGGTGCTGGTTGGCAACATACTGAGTGAACTGACACCGCAGATGAGACAATGTCTTGTTGAAGTCCTGCAAGAGAGCAAATACGGGCGAGGATCATTGACCATACTAATCTAGCTGCCCTTCATCTATTAATGACACTAAACATTAACAATTGAAAGCTAATATTATGCAGCCACCATATTTATACCTCGGTATAGGTGTCAACTCGCCATAGGTTCACGATAAGACACTATTGCAATCCTGGCCTTGACATGGTCATGTAACTACAGTGAACTCCCTTTAAACGAAATTCAAACGGAAAACCCGCATAAAATGAAAATATGTAGGCACATTTAGTTGATCTATATATTTAATGACAAAAGGTTTCGAGTAATCAGAACATTCTTTTTTGCTTACATTACTTAAAACTAAAACGGGCAAAATTTATGAACACCGGAAATGGCCACGGCAGTCTAGGAACACATGAAACCAACAACAAAGCTACCATAGCCTGGCGGAGCCAATCCAACGATTGTACATGTTCGTGCACGCCACGTGACAATCGACCCATTGTCGCAAGATTGAGATGGAAAAAAAAACAGCACATCGCACTTTCGGTCACAATGAAAGTAAGGATCATCCAAGAATTCGATGGCAACAACCTAGTGAAGATAGAAATTGTGAAATGCGATATTCCCAAGTCTACGCTGTCAAGAATTCAAGAACAGAGGGAAGATTGAACAAGCTGTCACGCGTGGGAACTTCGTGACGAACTAAATGGTTCACATGTGTGCACAGCATGAACTTCACGTTCCGCAGCCCCATTTTGGAAGAGAAGACTGAGAAGATTGTTTCTCAGATGAGGATTGAGGACTTAAGGATGAGCGATGGCTGCCCGAGCCATTTGTCATGTCTTTAAGACAGTTTCTGGGGAAAGTGCTGTCAAACAGAAATATCTGTAGCTACTGGCAACAGGGATGATTGTAAGAAATTTCGGAAGCATCATGATTTTATAAACAATGGGACCTGTTTGGCATTGACAAAATGGGGTTGTTTAACAAGGCACTCCCTACTAAGACTCCCGCTTACAAGGAGGAAACTTGTGTTGGAGGAAAGCGAAGCAAAGATCGTTTACAGTGTTAGTAGGTGCCAACATGGACGGTAGTGAAAAGGTGAAAATGGTGGTTGTGGGGAAATAAAAGCCGACACGCTGCTGTTGTGTGTATATGCTGCCAGTGAGATACCACAGAAACGGGAAAGCTTGGATGCTTAGAGCTTTTGAAATGAAGTCATATTTCATTTATTTTGTAGGTTCTGCTTAATTAAAACATCAAACATCAAACATCAAAAATAGAGGCTGTGCATGGCGTGCAGCTCTGCAATATTCAGAAAACGTGATCGCTGCAGTCTACTATACGAATTACCCAGCTTGTTTGGGGGGTGTAAAAAGAAAATTGGAGCCTGTCGACTGGCCCTTTAAGTACCGTGAAAAACAATATGTGGGTAGAATTTATTATTTTCTTTTTCAGAAAACAGCCATAAATAAAATATCGACCACCGTCTTTATATACCGTTCATAGGCAGAACTTCAAAAGTCTCACCACTATGGGCAACTGAAGTCAACCACCTCCATGGCTATCGCAATCATCAGCATTGCTTTGTTTACTGACAGCTTTGTGCCGTGGGCGGCCTCATTTTGTGTTTTTGTCCTCGCAAATCTACTGTATTTATTCGAATTTAAGACAAATGTTTTTTTTTTTAATTTCTTTGTATGAATCTCCAGGGTTGGCTTTGATTCAAATCAAAGATTTTGAAAAACGCACTATTTTTCATCGAGAAAAGTGGTGCACAACCAGAGTCACCTAGACGGTATTGTAGCTGCTAGTAGCCGAGCACACACCTGGCTTAAAAACACATGTGAGGCTGCCATTTTCATTTTTGTTGCGAGTGTTGACGCGAGCAGTTTGTCATTTCGAGTCGCGCTTCTGGTGGTCTCATCACAGTGCCACTTATAAAAGGCGATATCATCACATTGCCGCTTATAAAAGGACAGTTGTCCTAGCCGCAATATCGTCGTTCAGCGTTGAAGCCGGGCGAAACTTAGGAGTGGTCGAAAAAAATGTGCGCTGCTGGAGGGGCTGCAGCGTGGGACGACATCTCAGGAACTTTCATTGTGGACTTTTTTAAGAAGTGTGGCATATCCTATGTGCTTGATGGCACCGAGGATTGCACACTGAAGACAGCGACAAAGAAGTCAACGACGAGAGAAGCAGCGACGACTCGGAATCAGCGCGACATCATTACAATGCAAATAATTAAAAGCAGGGCAAAGAAACGACAAATAAACACACACAACAAGACTAGCGGCTGTATGCTTCTTGACTTATTTGCATAATAAACCAACTGCTTTGTTTCATCTTCATGTTCAATAAATGTTTTTTCTTTGTGAACGCTATCTTCACTTTTTCATTCGGCCTACATTCGAGTTTTTTTTTCTTGTTTTTTTTTTCCTAAGCTTCGGACGTTTGGGTGTCACCTCAGAATTGGGCTCGGCCTAGACTCGAGTAAACAAAATATTTTGGCTCAGAGCTGCCTTCTTACTCTCGAACAGTGGACGACAGTTCACTGCAGCATTCAAGAAAACAGCGATCGAGTCCGTCAAAGAACAAAGAAATCTGGTGTGAAGTGCGTGTAAGATGTACTGAGACGCTTGCACACGTGAATGTGAACATGAGTGGAGATGCGAGTCACAAAAAATAACTGAAAGTTTATTTTCGTACTGGTGTTCTATTGCTACAATCTCGCAGGATATCTTTTTCGTTGTTGTTGTTGCTTCCTGTGAAGCCGATGAAGCCAGCAGCTCAGGTTACAGCGGCACGTATTGCTATGTATGACCAGTGGGCCGATCAAGTGCAACACAGTAGCTTTCACACGACAACATGCGGCGATCAGAAGAAAACTTTACTTTCTAGCCAGACTGCAGAATATCTAGAGCTGGAGATAAAGGTTGCAGAGTTTATCTTGAAGCCATGCTCTTGTCATGATTACTACCATACCGATGACCTCACAGTGCATCCAAATAAAGGCTGTTAAGATGGTTGTGACATTTTACGAAGATAATGCTTGTGCTTTCTGACATGTGGAACTTATGTCTAAACACGCATGTAAATAAGTGGCATTTTGACTATCCACCATATGCAACTGCATCTGTTTCACTGTAAAAGTGCCTTGCAATACTTCGGCCATTCCATGCACTATTTTCTTTTCGTAGCCGTAGTTAAAAGGTCGATTTATATTCTAGTCTGCATAATCATATGGTTGTTTTGGGACGTTAAACCCCACAAATCATCAATGACTTACCTATGTTCCCGTTTTTATGGTAATCACAGTGCAGAAGCCACACACAACCATCAATTCAGAGATTGCAAGGTAAAAAAAAAAGAAAGAGGTCTGCCAGCTCCACAACAGTTTGGCTGAACCCCCCAGCACCATGCCTTCATTATTCCTCAGAGCTCAATGACTTGCCTCAGATTTTCCCACCCACATAAGTTCAAATCATATACAGATAACATGCTCAATTAACAGCTGTGCCAAAAAAGTTGCCTAGCTGTATTCAGTGCTGAAAATTCTTTTGATTTCTAAATGGTTGATCGTTCCTACTGACTAATTTATTGTGCATAAGTAAGATCATCTTAGGCACCTAAAATTGCCATCTTCAATGCCAGATATTAACTCTCTTGAGGATGAAGCTTTATGCAGACATTATACCTTACCATGCTACAGCGTTACTGCTTTATTTAGCTTTAGAGATTTTATATGTACATTAAACCAAAGGTTGTGATAATGAGATTTCACAGCAACAGCAAGGATGTACTTACATTTAAAGTTTGTCATTTGGTGACTTAGGGCTTCGAACCCAACCACAAAAATTCTGCACCAACTCTCTTCAAGAGTGCTTCGGGCATACACTTGAACACATGATCCAACATATTCACACTGATTTTCGAGTAGGTACGCCCACATGCTCGACACTAACTTAGTTCAGTTGTTAAACAAGAGGAAACGTCACTTGCCTGTGCAGAGCAGCTTTGTGTAGTCAAGCTGTTATTTCCATGAGTCATGTTCATGTACTTAAACTCGGCAGTGCCACTGGAGGCAAGGTATCTGAGCAGTTGCAGTTAAGGATAAAAGTGACAAGCACACAGTAAGTAAGCGATGAGTCCGTGAAAAGAGAATGTCCCCAGAGCCAATGTGTGGACAAGTGTCTTTGTCAGGGCAACCTTCCTTAGCAGAGCCACTTAGCTCACTCTCATTCAATCTCAAAAAAGGAAGAGAAGAAAAAAGAACAAAAGAAATGGAAAGGGGAAGGGGGATCACTGAAAAGGTTGTGAAGTGACACGTGTCATGTAGTAGGGGAGGAACAAACAGAGGAAACAAGAGAGGCAGTAGCTTCTTAAAGCTTTTCCTGAATTCTACACGATTGTTTATAAAACTTGATCAGTTTATGTATATTTGTGCACATATTTCAAATACACAATTTTTTCCTGTCTCATACAATATCTAGATTCTAAAATAGGTTTGGCATATGAAATATCACTTAAAATCATAAACGAAACATTTCACGTACGTTTTTCAGGGCATGATTGTCCCCAACGTCAGCAAAATTACAGAGTAATTTGGCATATCAAAATATTTTCGAACAAGACATATATGCAAGAGCACCAAAATCAGTGTTCTAAACCCATGTGAATGAAAGTTATATGCTGAACGTTTACAAGCGAGTCATCACCAAGTTCAGATTTGCCTCGTGATAGTTACACAAACCACAACTTTTCTCCGTATAGGTTTAGCACAACCACACTTGTATTACTGCATACTGATCTCATTGTAGATTATTAGGACATGCTGATTTACTGCTTTTTCATTCTTTCAGTTCAGGTAAACAAAAATCTTGCGATAAAAAGGGGACGTGAAAACAGGAAATGTTTGATATTTCAAAAACAAAATTTTGTCTGGTGGTTGTGTAAGTACGCAGAACACAAGCTAGTACAGCTGAAGACTCAAAGTACAAGCAATACACTCTGTACAGCTGAAGACTCAAAGTACAAGCAATACACTCTGTACATCAACCAGAACAGTACTCAGCTGTTGAGTATTCATTGGCAGATTGCATCGTCTTTTATGCATCATGACTGACGCAGTGCTAAAGACAGAACCATAAGAAACACAGAATGCATAGGACAAGCCTAGTATGGTTGGTGTTCAGCACAGTTTCCGTTCACAGATTCAGCAGCTTGAAAATGCAGGTTTTTCAGGATTTTTCCTGGCTAGTTACAGTGAGAGGCTGTTGAAATAGGTAAAAAATCTAAATCGTCTCAGCACCAGTTGTGCAAAAAAAAGTCACAGCTTTGCCTAAAAGGCGAAGCAATGAACAGGACAGCAACAAATTTGAAGGTCATGCGAAGAATGGCAAGCAGATCGAAATGTGCCCTGCATTTCTCACGCACAAATGGCACAAGAAACAATCACAGGTACAGATGAACACGAATAACTTATGACAAATGGTAAAGCGCCTGCAAAACGTGCATAGCTGCTGGATACCTAGCTGTGTTTTGAGAAGCTTTTTCAGTGGCTATGTATAGACGGTTTTGTTGTTTGTAAGCAAACTGGCTCGTGCCGAACGGCCTACCCCAGCAGACTTCCCATGCGGCACTTTCGGAAATGCTTCTTCAATGAATCTGGCAGTGTTTTCATGGCATGTTTCAGTTTGCTGCCCTGATATTTCTGGCGCATTCCTTAAGATGTGTTTGCAGCAATGGCTAGCAACTACATGAAAGGGTTCAACGTATTCACGGCAGGTGCAGGCTACTATACTGCAGGTAACACTGCTCGTGTGGCCAATGGGCGCCGCGCAAAATATCTGTCGTGGCGTTCCGATGAGCTCCTGCTACGCGTTACCTCCGATAGTGGTTGCGCCTACACAAACAGAAAATGCATAAACTGCAAGAGAAGTTTGTCAGCGAACTTAATTGGGCCATTTGGTTGTGCATGGCAACGATGTGAATGCGCTTTGAAGATGCGGACCGGAATTGACAGTGCACACCTGCCTTTTCTGTGTTTGCGTCTTCAAAGCCCATCCACATCGTCGACATGCAGAAGAGTTGCTCGATTCATTGAAAAGTTGTTCAATTTAGCTTTTCGACTAGAACTGGAAAACCTTCTTCTTGTTGAACCCCGAACATATTTGTGCTTTCGTGTAAGCATACAACCTCAAGATAAAATGCTTATTTCTGCGCCTGTGTCACACTGGGCACTTAATACAGAGATCAGCGGCGATCAGAATCGCTCGCGATTTGAAGTGTTCGTGTGACTGAGAAATGATAAAATGTACTGATGTGATGACGTCAATTGTAGTGCAGGGTCATGCGAACTATTATTGTTTACTCACAAGTAAGCTATTCATGAATCAAACTCTTAAGTTGAACCTACCAAAATTTACAGTCCATGTTCACACAAAAAAGATACATTAGCTCATTATGTTCATTAGCGGTAAAAAGACAGGTGATGAGTCATTTGCTCGCACAGATGAGAGCGCACTCGCCGGCGTCGCTTTCAAAAAAAAAAAATCAAATGCAGCGACAACGAAACGTGGGCACCACGACGTACACTGTGAGGCGATTCATGTTAATCTCGGGTACTTTGTGTCCCGTGTTGTTTCTAACAGTGCACATAATTGATATCACTCAAACTATAAAATAAACACCTTTGCGATGAATTTTCAGTGTTAGCTTTCACATTTTGCTGCACATTTCAGGCGTGAGTACACTTATAAGCATGGGTGTAAGACGACAGTGACTGCATGATGTGTTCCCAGCAACCGGGTGCCTTCACTAGTCTAATGTCTGAGTATCGCCTCTGTGCCATCAGTCTACGCTGAGCTTCACATTGCCTTTGATGAAGTGTCGAACAAACTTAGGCGTTCTTAGCGGGAATTCAGTTTTCTCGCGTGATCGCTACAATGCAGGCGCTTTTTCTATTGTCATCGGTTTCGCAAAACGTTTTTACTAGCATACAAAATTATTTAGGCATGTAGACTGCATTTTAGCTTCACACAGCTGTGCTCGAGTTTACAGCGCTTCATCGGAATAACTTTATCCCCATAAAACATCGGAACACAAGCAGCCGCGGCCAGCAACAAATGCTAAAACCACGCCAGAACAAGCGATACCGGAAGCTTCCAGGGGTGGTTTTCTGGTGAATGCAGAATGTTGCTAGAGATCGGCAGGCTCTGACGAAACCGTCTATACTCGTGCGCATGTTAAGTGCAGCTCGCGACTATGGCAGGAATGATTGCACACAATCAGTTTCACTGAAAAGGTGAAACCATGAATGCGATAGGGACAAATTACAATGTTGTACGAGAAGAGGCTGGCAGTCAACTCATTCACATGCGATCTCACGTAGTTCTACAAAACGCTGCTGTAAGAGAACACAGGTGCCCCAGACACCCTCTTGGCACTGTTTTTTCGGGTCGAGAGCACAGCTCATGAAAGCTCCCGCCTGCTATAGGAGCACAAGGTGCGCTGAACGTTGCCGTGATAGCGCGGCAACCGTAAGTCCCCCCTGTTTGTTCACGAGATAATCACGTGCGCAGACGACTGCGGCCAGAAAGGCGATATTCGCTTCGTATAAGAGGAGGCTAGAGCATCCTTCCCCGTATATACACTCAAACCTCTTTATAACGAAGTTGCATCTTACACTAAAATAAGTTTGTTTTAATTGAAAACTTGTTATAAAGATATATTTTGCACACTATAACTATTGCAATAGTTTTTCATTTATTTCGTTATATCAAATATTTCGTTATATCCAAGTTCGTTATACCGGGGTTCGAGTTTCTATACATAAACGTGAATGACGGCGGAGCCGATGGCAAAAAACCAGCTGAGACTGTTCGTACAATTGCTCTCGCAATAAAATGTAATAAAGTATCGCTTTTGTCGTATGTCTATAATCTTTACCAAGGGCTTGAGGAATGTGAGCAAGAGATATGGTATTAACCTGATGTTTTCATCTAGAATCTGTGCTTCATGTTCAGAAAAAATGAAGGGTAGTGAAAAAAAAAAAAAAAACCGACAGCTGTGAAATTAAACATGTGTCCACATATGCACTTTGTAAGTGCGGTGTTGTGTACCAGATCCCCTTACTTGCGGCAAATCGTACATGTGACAAAGTGGCAGATGTGTTAACGTTCACTTAAAGGAGCATAACCAGTCTTAGAAAAAGCCTCACACATCCCATCTAGACTCGCATCGTAATACGTGTGACTGCTCTCCCGCGTTCGCAGATGCGGAAGAGCTCTCTAGGCACAAAAGCAAATTAACCTGTAAAGTTATGGAAGCTTTTTCACATTAAAAAAAAAAGGGGAGATGCATGCATAAGCCATGTGTCAATTTTCTTGACAGACAACGAGTTTGCATATCTGCTTGGCTCATGTATTATCAAGTTACAGTTCCGAACTTTCTTAAGGATGCGCACATGTTGTTTGTTGAATAATTTGCTTTACTTTCTAAATTACGCAGATATCTGCTATGCCTGGTATTGTTCTTCGAAACAAATTTTTTCCATGGTGACACAGCGCACGTCCTGTGCACTCTGGCTTCCTTACGTCTTCGTACTTAGCGTTGCATGTATCACGCAAGCACTCCAACAACCCAACTTTTCTGTCTTAACGTACCTCTGCCTAACCCCGCGTTTTTGGCATCTTCAATCGTGCTTGACGTCTGTCAAGCAAAGTCAGCCTCATGGTATTTCACAATTTCCAAGTGCCCTCCAGAACTACGATTTCTGCGCAAGATTCTTCAACCATGTCCAGGCCATGGGAGAAAATTGTATAAGGTGTTGAATTCCGAGTGCTGGAACCAAGTGTTTTTCCTGAAAGATGCCAGTGGATGTCTTGTGGCCTTAACACTGGTGAACAGCGCTCTTCGCAACAGAGGTTTTAATGACTGAAGGTGTCTCGTCAGCTCATAGAATGACTTTGGTACCAGGTGCGCCTTAAGCTACCAGTCAAGAAGTGAATTGCGTTGAAGAAGGCAATTTGATGAACTTTACCAACTTGTGCATCCCCCCTCACCACGAGTCTATGCTTAGTTATGGTCCAA